CTTAGGACAACAGAGGTTAAGCCGGGGTGACAGTCCTGATAAAGGGCTGGCTTTGAGATTTTAGAATAACAAGGAACATTTTTCTTTAATTAAGCAACTTGTTCATCTCTCTTAATCACATCTAGAGACCATTGGTCATTGACGAGTGTTTCATAATCGTTAGAAAAGTTTGATCTGTAGTATAGGTATAAATAATATCATATGTAGTATACTAAGGTAATACAGGCGCATGAGCCAACTTAATAAACTTGTGGATATGAACTGATTAGGTAAAAAAAAAAAATAACTTTTATAGCTTATTAAATATATAGGAGTTCTATTTTTCTTGACAATTTTGCTTCTAAATTTGATAATTTAAATCAATGAATTTTTTGTTTTTAATATTGTAAACAAATATTAAATATAAAACCTTTATTAAAACAATTGTTTCCGGTAATTATATTAATAATATTTATATAAACAATAAATTAATTATAATCAATATCAAGCTTATACCAACCAAGAACTACAATTTTTGAAGCATTTACTAGAATATATATATATATTGAAAGTCTTTTACAGCTGTGTAAGTTAAAAATGTAATATAAAGAATAATCTATTAAATAATAATATGTGTTTCTCAATAAACAAGATTATATTCTAACTTTGACAAAAAGAAGCAATCAGAATGTCTTTGAATTTTTTTGTATAAAATAGTTATTTTATATGTTTTTTGATAAAAATAAATTAACAAGTTTGATGGCTTAAATTAATAACAGGCTTCCATCTTTTATATAATCCCACCTGACAGATAGGCATCACTTTTTATATAAAGTTCATATAGTTAGGTTATATAGCAATAGGTTAGAATTAAATTACATATGTAATAGATTTTTGATATAATAATTATATATAAACTTTGTTTAATAAAAATTGTACATCTAATATCCATTTGCTAATAAAAAAAATTATAGCCAATATCAACTTTTATAACTAGTACAAATTGTTACAAAGTAGATATTTAAATATTAAAAGTATTGAATACTAATGTCTATTTAAAATAATAATGTGATTAATAGATTAAGGAATATTTTTTATTAATAAAATTATTATTATTTAAAATGTTTAATATAATTTTGAATGAATTTTGTTCTAAATAGTTGAAGTTCATATAATCTAATAGTTTTGATTTTTTTATTTAATACCTGCTAATAATAGAGTTGTAACAGTAAGGAACCACTGTTTTCAAATTTGTAAAGAATTTTGAAAAAGTAGTTAAGCCAATTAAATTCTTTAAATAACAATTTAATAACTTCAATACAAATCAAACTACTAACATGTCTACAGAAAGAACTCAAGAAAAGAAAAGACTTTAATTAAAGAAGGATTGCTACAAGTTCATCACAAACTTTTAGAAGAATATTAGCACAATCTTGAGTTATATTAAAAGAGTATTAAAAAAAACAAATCCAACCTATCTTATATATTTAATAGTGAAGACTAAATGAAGATAATCATTAAAAGCAGTATTACTAACTACTTTCAGAATATCATATGATAGAGACTATTAATCTGTCTGATTCTTCAAATTGGCAAGAAGTTTATAATCCTCTTTTAATAGTTCAAGAACTATATAAACAAATACTTCTTACATTTGACTCACCAATCCTTGACACTGTGATCTGATCAAAAGTCTTTTTAAAAACAAAGCACCAGAAAAATCATATAAATAGAATAGTTTTACAAATTTTGATTAGACACAGTTATAGTTTTGGAATGCTCTTTTGTCACGCTTTATTAAGTAAATGCTATACTACTTCGCACAATAACACTTACGTCCCCTAAAATAACAAGCCGAGACCACAGTAAAGTAAACGACTTTAAGGAAGAGGTCAACGTTACCTTTTGCATCGTGAAGAGACACTTGTAATCTTGAGACATGCCTTGAGGGACGGTCAAGAAGAGATTGATAAATGTGAAAGTACCCGCCTCAGAGCTAAAGCCTTACCTTATTTAGTGTCAAAATCCAAGCGTTCGGATTATCGTCACGCGAGAAGAAGCGACGGACTCGCCGGTGACGACAACAATATATACAGTAGCTAACACTAGAAAAAACTATAAGATACTTAATTTATTAAAATAATTTTCACATTCAAAGTAACATACAATTTTTTTGCGAATAAATAAGATGTTTTCAATTGTCGGGGTCAGGGTTGACAATGATTTACGGCACAATCCTCGATCTCGCGATAGTTTTGGGCAGGGGTTCAGGTAGGTTTACAGGGGAAGGCGAAAAAAAGGAGTGAATTTGGTGAGTTCGTAGGAAATTTATTAAACAATGAGAATTAGGTAAGTGGAGATTTTTATTTGGGTTCAAAGTCTCTTTTCCTTTATTAGCATCCCTTCATTGAGAAATAAAAGAAATTAACGAAATTAACGAGTATGAAATCGTAGAGACAATCTAACAAATCCGACTTAGTATGCTATAATGAATTCTTTGTCACAGAAATTCAGTTTTTCCGAATCAATTATATGATTTTATAAATAAATCATTTATGATTACAGTACACATTATGAAAAGGGTGATCTTAACGCATCCATCAGTGGCTGTTTGCCAAGACGTTGAGAGATAATGATAAAAGATCTAAAATATATGCGCATTTTATTAAGCATGGACAATGAAATCAATTATGATCAGAAGTAATAATATTTAATAATGCATCTGAAACGAAGGTTTATGCGAAATACCATCGAGGAAAAAGTTAGAACAAGTGTATTCAAAGATTCTTTATTGATGCATTTCGAGCAATTTTTATTTAACTCTCACGAGGAATATTCACTTGGAAAGCAAGTACTTCATTCCTCCAGTTTACAAAGACTTCAAAAAATGATTTCCAAACACTCAAACCCTTCTAAAGTCACGATCATTCTCCTTATTTCTTTACTCTCTACTTCATATACGGCCCGCTCAAATCCTCTTTATGAGCGAAATATTCCTGTTGGTTACCAACCCATGCTCTGGTTCCAGCAGAACAACGAAAATATGGCTAACACCGAATCCGCAAATAATAATCAATTCGGCCTTCAATCCTCGAAGGGCGCTGAATCAGCCTCTAATATTGATAACGAAGCTTCTTCCAATTTCCTTATCACAAAACGAGACAGTGGAAATCGATACGACATTGATCGATTTACTAGACGAAATCTTCCATCCAATGGACATATGCCTACTTTATTCTCTCAGCAGAACAACGAAAATATTGCTAACACCGAATCCGCAAATAATAATCAATTCGGCCTTCAATCCTCGAAGGGCGCTGAATCAGCCTCTAGTCTTGATAACGAAGCTTCTTCCAATTTCCTTATCACAAAACGAGACAGTAGAAATCGATACAACATTGATCGATTTGCTAGACGAAATCTTCCATCTAATGGACATATGCCTACTTTAATTTCTCAGCAGAACAACGAAAATATTGCTAACACCGAATCCGCAAATAATAATAAATTCGGCCTTCAATCCTCGAAGGGCACTGAATCAGCCTGCAGTCTTGATAACGAAGCCTCTTCCAATTTTCTTATCGCAAAACGAGTCGGGCAAAATCTTCCATCCAATGGACATATGCCTACTTTATTCTCTCAGAAGAACAACGAAAATATTGCTAACACCGAATCCGCAAATAATAATCAATTTGGACTTCAATCCTCGAAGGGCGCTGAATCAGCCTCCAGTCTTGATAACGAAGCTTCTTCCAATTTCTTTATTACAAAACGAGACAGTGGAAATCGATACGACTTTGATCGATTTGTTAGGCGAAATCTTCCATCTAATGGACATATGCCTACTTTACTTTCTCAGCAGAACAACGAAAATATTGCTAACACCGAATCCGCAAATAATAAGCAATTCGGCCTTCAATCCTCAAAGGGCACTGAATCAGCATCCAGTCTTGATAACGAAGCTTCTTCCAATTTTCTTATCGCAAAACGAGACAAGGAAAATCGATACGACATTGAGCATCTTGAAAGGCGAAATCCTCCACCCAATGGATATAGACGTACACTCTATTTTCAGCAAGCTAACGAGAATGTGGGCAGTACCGAGGCGGCCAACGTTAATTCACTTAATATACAATCCAATAATGCTGCTGAATCTGCTGGAACATTTGTAAATGAAGGCGCCTCAACGTTTGTAATGGGTTGACGCTATAAGTAAGTTTTTTTAAATATATAAACTGATGTGATGGCATGGTAATGTAAAGTAACAAAGATCTTTTCACATGAATTGATTTGAAATCATAAATGCACATATACGTTATTTTTGCATTATTGAAGCAAATCTTTTCTATTCTTTATTTAATTTAAATGAAATATTGAGCAATAACTTTCTCGCAAACTTTTTGCTTAAATTTTCGAAAATTAACAATAAAAAAAAAATTATTAGTGAATTTTGACTTTTTTTTTTCCCCTCGTTTTACAATAATTGTCATATTAAACAACTACAGTACTGTATATAAACTTACAGTATATTATACAATCAATATAAAAACTTCCATTACGAAAGTTATCAGACAACAAAAATTTTTTTTATGCAACTTGTCATCAATTCAATCACTAAATGCAGTACAATTAATTAAGAAATTAAAATGAATTTAACAAAAATTATTATATTCTGTTTATGAAATTGTGATTATTTTACATGTGTTTTTTAAAGTAGTAATTTAAATATTATTCAATTCATAGGTTAATCTGCTCATATTAAAAATAAATGAAATATGGTTATGATAAATTTATTTTCAAATCACTATTACAATCGTGAAGAATTTTTTTTGAAAATCACGTGTCCATTTTCATTATCATGAAAGTTCATCATATTTTCATAATCCGATGCAATAATTTTTTTAATCAGTATACCATTGCTCAAGAAAAAAAATGATTTCTTAAAATCATGCTGTCAAGTAGTGGCATTTTTTAAAACTCTTTAGTAATTGTCATTTATTAAGATTAATATTATGTAGTATAGGTAAGCATTTACGGTAAATGTTTTTCATGTTTAACGAATAAGGATTAAAATCAGATAAAAAGGCGACGCTTAAAATACACGTGCACAAAATAAAACGATGTTATAATAAAATAAAGTACGTATAAGGTAATCATAATCTCATCAATTAGAATGAGATTGTTTAAAAACATTGCTCATATACAGTAATGAAAAAAATTTCTCACCAGCATTTTACGTATAAAAAGAGAGAGTTCGCCATTTAAGAATACTCTGATCGGCGATTCATTTCCTATTTAAGTTAATATAATTCTTATTGGAATTCAATTTTACCGCTTCCTTATTTATGTTTTATGGGGAAGATGAACATAGCACTATGTTTATCACATGTATTATAAATGAGTCCGGTGAATTTTAGTTGGGTTATTAAATGTTGTGGATGGAAAATGTCTTGTTGCAATCAATGTTGAGAAAGAATTGTATTAATTGCATCTGAAAAATTACAGTATTGTACATTTTCTTCGTAAAGTGCATCGGTCACGTGTTCGTGCGAGTGACATAACGCGAATGAAAACAAGCCTTGTATAAATAGGGATATTTGCAGAAATAATGTATAGTAATATAATTGGTCAAAGCTAAAACGCCTCCTGCAGAATCTGCTTTTAATTAGAAAATGAAAATTGGAAGTAGTATAAAAAATATTTCAATTTTTTTGTACAAATACTGTAATTATAGCAATGTGTTGAATTCAAATTACTTCAATAGAATAAAGGACATATTTACTGTATTTCTGTGCTTTCTTTCGATACAACTTTGATATATAAGTTAGGAACAACATCTCTGTGGCAATTCATTCAATGTTAATTAAATAAGACGAAATGAAGTACAAATACGGGATTTGGTTTATATAATATATAAAGAATGAAAAATTTGTGAGCTCATTTTATTTAGTTTATAAAAGAAAAATATAAATGAGTAAGAAGAAATGCGGGCAATTGATAAAAACATTGAAATAAAGAAGAATTGGGTAAGCCAAAATTATTGTTTTATTATAAAACCGTTCGAAATTAGTGGCATGCATTCCGTTTAACCTTAATTACCAGTCTCATTAGTTTCCTCAACAGTAAAAGTCATAAATACCCAATAAAGGGCATGAAGTACGCCAGGAACGTAGGCGAGACAGCCGATTGAATTTAACCCCACCTTAACCCATTTACCGCGATTTCTATGGTTTAAACTTATATAAACAGCTAGCGGAGGAAGGACGAATGCCAATATGTATACTATTAAAAATATGTGTGGTTCTTTCTTCGCTTTGTACATTCCGAATACAGCGAAAAGAATAATAGTAACACCAATTAATGAAAAAGCCAATACAGCCAATACTAGTTCTTTATGTTTATTATTATAAAGTATAGAAAAAATTATATAATCAGTTGTTAGAAACCAATCGTGGGATTATTTCGTATTAAAAACTTAATCGTTACCTATATTAGTGCCCGTATTACTACTGCTCGAACTATTATTGCTATCATCCAAACTAGCATATTCGATAGTAAAAACATCAGAATATACAGTATTCATAGTATCGTCATTTTTTATATAACATTTGTATTTTCCAGGATCAACAGTGACAACCCAGGTTTCTCTTCTCTGCGAAAGGTCCACGCTAGCGTTTATCGTTGTAGAAGCTGAAGTGTCTACATTAATTATTCCTAACTCGGCATTGGAGTCTTGAGTACCAGTAAGATTCCAACTAATTGTAATAGTTGAACCCGTTTGAACATTTTGAGGAGTGTTTAAAGTTACGTCTATTTTGTAATAATTATTAAAATATTGTTAGGCACATTGCTTAAATGTCAACGGGAAAATTTTATAAAAAAAAAAATTAAAGGGAACTGTAATGTAATCTTTTGATAAAAATACAGATATACTTAGAATTGATAAATAAATATCACGTACTGTAGGTAGCCTCTACAACCGTATTACAATAGATCACAAGAATAAAGATTATGAACTTGTAGATCGACATTTTTGGGTTGGCTTAGCGTTTTTTTTCGTGTCTTTAAATAAGCTTCTCGACGTCCACGGAAATATATAAAGGTAGACTCCGATTGAAATGCAAAAAAAGCTGTTACATTGTAAATCAGAATGCGTCTTTTCGCTAGAAACGAAAAATTTTCATTGTCCAGGGCCACCCGTTCAACCGATTATTTGCTGATTGTGGTCAGGATTCAAGAGACACACTATATCTATTGCTGAAGATTAATACAGTAAGTTCATGAAAATCGTATTGGGCGCCTTCCCAAAAAAAGGCATGGTAAATAGAAGTGTTTCCAAAAAAAGATCCAGTGAATAGAGAATGTTGTGATACCTTCAACGCAAAGCCCAAAAATACTGTAGTTGTTTCACAGCAGTCGAACCAATATGCCTTATTACATTGTCAAAGGAAACAGAACACGACTAATTTAGCTGTCGGTACTTCGTATCATACATTAATAAACCAGAAAAAATCTTTTCATTGACGACCATAAATGTAATTTGTGAAGAGCAGGAGTGACGCAATTGGTGTTTGTCACATGATTATAACTGCGATCTGATTTGGTCAATGCTTTTGCAACAATGCATCGTTTTCATTTACAGTACATGAAGATTTTATGTCCGAAATAATAATCTTTTGTACACTATAGGCCTGATCCCGAGCGAAGTGTATTTGCGAGATTGTTTGGACACCGTATACAATATATCCTTTTCTTTACCCTATCACAAAAACGGCGTAGATTAAGATATTGTAACAGGCAAACGGCGAGTCTGTCGCTAGTGCCATCAGAGATTCGTGCAACAATTACAGGTGGTTAATAATAGAATGTAAGTGTGAAGCGTTGTTATTTGATTGAGGTATTTCTTTTTTTTTATTAACTTTAATTCTTCCCAACTTTTATAAATAATTTCTTGGATTACATAAAATAAATTAAACCATGAAAATAAAAAATAATAGAAAATAAAGCCTCAACACGGCAGAATGGGTTTCACAATATTCTTTTTAATTGTCACATTTCGCGATCATTAAATTAACCTGGTCATGCCAGTATCAGCTGTTCGTTGCATAATATTCGGCACGTAGGGCCTCCTATCTTGTATTACTCTTTTATTGAGGCGTTCTAATTGATCAGCAGGGATTCTTTACTTCCCCAAAATAAAAGTCATGTGAGGTGTTCATTCTAACTTATTTTTCCGGAAATTTTACTACAAATTCGTCTGCACGAGTGACGCAACAATAATGCACGAATGACGCAAGGGTGTCGCATAAGTGAGAACACCTATTGTATGTCTTATTTTGGAAAAAATTTCTGTATAAATAATTCGAGTCACATCTCGCGATACAGTATCTGGTTAGGACTTTTTCGGAACCGTTATTTTGTCTTTTAGTCACACAATAATTCATTAAAATAAATTTAACTTCTATTATATATGATATATATTAATTTAATAAGTATATACGGTAAATCTTATTGCAAATCTTTTTATGAAACTTTAATTATAATAAACAGAAACTGTTTGGATCCGGAGCATATTAATAAGCATTTTAAGCAACTATAAAAAATATTTCCTGTATATACTGTATATATCAATTCTTTAACATTATTTTATAAGTTAATATATTACTGATTAGTATTAACTCATCATTTATCTTGTAGTAATATGTTAGAGTATTAAGTGTTACTTGTATGAAAGTCTCACTTTTGATTACATCAATTTTCCTTCGCATAGCTCCGGACAACCTTTTTTTATTTTAAGCTTTTATTTATATGGGTAATTCTTTTCGAAGGCGGACAGGGATTTTTCGGTCACTATAATTGTGACCCTAAAATTTACATTGTGTATGTATTGTTTAAAAGTAGGGACCGAAAAAATCATATCTAGCATTTTTGCTTCCTTCAAAAATAATTACCCATATACTTTTAGAGATAGATTTTTTGAATTGCGATCGTATAATATAATTTAATGTCGTTTAGAGATCTTTGGTACAATAGCGATAGATGAATGTAATAGAATGACGTATAACAAAAACTATGAGAAAGTTAATCATAATGCATTCATCTAGCAATTTTCCTTGAAACAGATATAATGG